TATGACATCCATGTACCAAATTTCATTGAAATGTGATTACTACTTGAAATATCAAAAGCTGAAAATTAATTAATTATGCAAATTAGGTAATTAATATGTACTCATATTACCCTAAAAACTATCAGGTCTGTGCAGTGTCCTATGACATCTATATACCAAGTGTCATTGAAATGTGATGATTTCTACTTGAAATATCAAAAGCTGAAAATTAATTAATTATGCAAATTAGGTAATTGATATGTACTCATATTACCCTAAAAACTATCAGCTCTGTGCAGTGTCCTATGACATTGAAATGTGATGATTACTACTTGAAATATCAAAAGCTGAAAATTAATTAATTATGCAAATTAGCTAATTAATATATACTGATATTACCCTAAAAACTATCAGGTTTTTGCAGTGTCCTATGACATCTATGTACTAAGTTTTATTGAAATGTGATGATTAGTACTTGAGATATCAGTGGAAAAGCCGAAAATTGATTAATCATTATGCAAATTAGGTAATTAATATTGCACAGATTTTTACTCAAAACTAATCAAATCTGCGCATTAGTTTGGAGCATCTGTGTGCCAAGTTTCATCAACATCCAATGAGCGGTTCTTTAGATATCAGTGGAACAGACGGACACACAAACACACACACACACACACACACACACACCCACACACACATACATACATACATACATACAGTAACACTAACTGCAAAGACTCCCTTTTTGTGCTACGCACACGGGAGTAAAAACGATTTTAAAATATAGATAACAGGTGCAAACATTCTCTCTTTTGAATACTTAGCAAGATTTGGCAAGGCTTTACATAAATAATAAAAAAGAAACGTGGTGAAAAAAAGAAATGACGGGATCTCCATATTATGCACTATATTTAACTTTTAACAAAACGATAATAGGTTTAAATTTGGAACTGTTACAGCCATTTTAATTATGAGCATTAGCAAACGTCTTACTTAGTGTCAGGACATTGTTTTTGGTTGAACAGTGTTACAACAATCGTACAGACAACTAGCCTGGGTGTTAATTTATGCATAAACTTGAAGTAGTGAAATTTAAGCTGCTGCCCTGCAAAATTGATAACTGGTAGACAGTTTTCAAGACGGCTCTTTCTTCATAGTAAACAGATGTACCCATAAACCAATTTTGACAGGAAACAGAAGCATGGTTTAGAAGCTAATTTTTTTTAAATCACTTTACAGTGTTCATAAAAAAAATACTAACAAAATTTTAAAATTATACAGTAAGCTTTCCGAAAATATATAGTTTTGTGGACAAGGGAGGTCATCTTGGTTTCCTAATTAACTAATTAAAATACCTGTCAGGTAAACTGCATCTCTACCTTAATTAATCAAAAACATTGTTTGTATCAGTCTTCGAAAGTTAATGGAAACCATGGAGACTCAATTGAATGCAAAATCTGTTTTCATTTGTTTAGTTAGATGGGGGTTACCAACAGTAAGTGTCGCTTCTTTTGTTGGCATGATGTCTGCTGTATTTGCTTCTACATTGGAATCTGTCGGTGATTATTATGCCTGCGCACATCTAAGTGGGGCGCCACCACCACCAAGTCATGCTTTCACTAGAGGATTGGGAGTGGAAGGCATTGGCGTGTTTATTGCCGGAATGTGGGGATGCCTGGGAGTGACGTCATATTCCCAGAACAATGGAGCAATCTCAGTTACAAGAGTGAGCGCTTATCATCCATACCACGTTTATCCTTGATTTCCGTTGAAAATATTAATTTCACCATTAAAGCGGGAGGGTCGTCACCTGCGCACGTTCGGTCCCAAGCGATGATAAAAACACACACTAAAAACGCAAAGGCTCATGGGTAGATGTTTGTTTGTAAACATTGACAGGCTATGGCCATCTGACGCATGCGCAGGTGACAACTCCCCGCCTTAAAACCAAATCGATGGTAACAATACTCATATCTCTTTCGAATATATAATTTTAACACACCAGATTGATACATCAGATACATTAATAACCTACGCCCATCAGACAACAGATTTCTAACACATTTTGGCCGTATATCTCACCAGTTTCAACTTAATTGGCATACAATGAAACTAACTGTTTTTAAAATTGTACAGGTTGGAAATCGTCGTGTAATACAATGGTTGAGTCTGATTCTTTTCTTAATGGCTATTGTTGGTAAACTTGCAGCCATTATTGCATCAATACCAATTCCGATAATTGGGGGATTACTGTGGATCACCTCTGGTATGATAAATCAATTTATATTTGAATATTATGTAAACAAATTTACAAACGTATTTAATTTTACCTCTCGCCACTATTTGTTGTAAATCAACTTGGGACTTTGTTGAGAATCTCTTATCAATCAGGGCCTCAAATTCAATATACTAGTCAGTATTTCATAAATTCATGTATATTCTATATGCTACGGTAAGTGAAATGCAACATTCCTTGTGGAAGGTTACATTCAATTCCTGGTAGGAGAAGCTATTATGACTTGATAAAATGGTACTTTGTTTTTTTTCCATAAGCTCGAGAGTATAGTTCAAGTCTTCCTCCGGCATATTATGTACCCATTCAAAACATATCCCGCTCATTTGCAACTACCAATCTCGCGAGATTTTAAAAAACGGAAGGTCGTTATCGTAGCGTTAACAGTAAAGGTATCTTACTTTCCACTAGGTACAATAATATCCATAGGCGTTGCTAGCCTACAACATTGTAATATGAATTCTTCAAGAACTTTGGCAATATTTGGGACAGCCATTATGACTGCTTTGATTGTGCCTCAGTATCTAACCCAGAACCCGGAGGTCATTGATACAGGTACATTGCCACTTTATTAGTATGCTATGATTTCATACACCATTCAGTTTTGAGGGATATGCAAATAGAATATATGAATTGTGAAAATTGAAAATATTGTGTACAGTCGACACACATATCATACTGGTTTTCTCAGAGGAAGGTAATCTATAGTGTGTTGCATATAAGTTTTCTTAATATTTAATATATTAAATATAAGAAATTTGAACAGATTTCAAATAGTGTGCTATTGAGAATGTTACTGTCCATACTACCATTGTATGTGAGACGACGTCTCGTTGAATTATATTGACATGATATTATGATTATAATAATATCGCAAAAGATACTTAAATTAAATGTTTCGTTTCTCATAACAATAGCAATATATATATCACCAATCTAAGAAACACGTTTACTACATAAATGAGACAAAATGCAGTTTCTATGTTATTTCGTAGTCTCAAAATACATTGGGTCAATTTAAATGACGATTTATAACTGAGACTTTTTTGTTGTAGAAATGTTTACTGTAACTATGCTAACACAATAGCATTCTTTGATAAGAACATAATTTAGTAAGCACATAGATTCAT